TCGAAATATTAAAGGGCCTAAGATAACAATAATAATGTAGGAGGGTGTGACATTTCAGCGGCGACTCCATGACCTTCATGAACAAAAAAAAAAAAAGAATGGCGGCCTGCAGGATTTTTGTTCCAGAGGCGCCGGATTTTTTAGATGCAATTTCAATGTAATATTTTAAGTGACCCTTGATATGAAGTAACGAGCCATTTAAAAAAGACGAAGTGCTTGTCGTGTAATTCTCAAACGGACCGTTCATGGCATATGACAATGAGGCTACGGTGTTTTTCATTATTTCTAGTCTTTGATTATTAATTTGTAATATTAAGGAGTGACCAGAGGACTTTTTTGTTAAATATAAGTAAGCAAAGGCCCAATTTAACATATTCAACGCCTTGCTCCCAAAAAAAATGAGGAAAACATTAGGCCCAATTCAAAAAAGGTCCAGGACTAAAGGGGGAGAAAAAAGGACGGGACGGGACGGGACACGGGACACGGGACAAAAGTTCCATCCTGTGAACACTCCTACCAACCATTATGCATTAACGGAGGCCTTACCACGTGGTAGTAACAACCAAATCTCTCACCAATTCCCAATTCATGCATCATGCTCAAACCGTAATCAAAGAGTAAATATTCATTTCATGATTAACTTCTTTCAGTGGCATATCTTTCACAAGTTCAGGATTCATTCAATATCAATTGAAACCCCACAAGATGGTTTTTTTTTCGATATACAACATACAATTTGAACACAATTTGTTACTTGGAGCACAAAACATAAATCCGCTCACAATACCACAAAAGCATGTACAAAGGATTGGAAAGTGGTTATCTCTTACCTGAGCAAGGAATAACAAACCACCACGATGCCCCGTGCACCAAGGACTCACAATCAGTCTACACAAGCACACGAGCACACAACCACCATGTATTAGCTTTCAAACTAATAATGTGGCCAAAACAACACTTGGGGACACAAAATTCCTAGCTTCAACCAAAACTCTACCCAACTCAAAAGGGTATAACCATCAAGGCAACACTCCAAGATCATGAAAATCCATTAAAACATTAAATTCCTTTCCAAACGTCAATTTAGGATTTAAACCTCAAAGACCCACTATAGGGATTCAACACCCAAACATCCAATTAGAACAATTGAAGCCTTCACAACATTCTAAACCAATTAAACATCTAATTTAACCCTCCTTAACATAACCCAATTTACAAAACTCAAATTCAACCTCCACATTATCACCCTCAATCACAAACCTCTCACTTCCATAAACCCTAACTTCAAAAACTCAAAGTTCTTCAAATCCAAGAAAGTTACACCAATTAAATACTTAGACTAACCCAAAGCAGTCATCTAAACTCAAAGCAATCGATCAAAAACCTCCATCTCATCATAACCTAGAAAACTCTAGAGTTTCACCATAAATCCTCAAAAATACCAAGAGAAAGAGTAGATTAGAGGTTAGATTCACTTACTTGAGGGAATAGACACCTAGAAATACCTCCTCCAAGCCAAAAATTCAAAACCCTAGTAGAGCTTCTTCCTCTTCCTTTAGATTTTCTATTTTTTGCACAAACAGACCCCTCCCATGATTATATAGATCCAACCCCCTTCGCTGCGACAAACCAATCCTAAGAGGGATTACGTGCCTGAAAACCCGACTGCGCCACGACGAAAGCTTCCCAAGAGGAAACTCTCGCTCGACCAGAAAACCTTCGCCGCGGTGTACTCCTAAATTCATCGCAGCGAGACCTTCCCAAAAGGACACTCCCCCTAGAACTCCCGATGAAACATCGCCACGACAAACAAACCCTTCAAAGAATTTGTTCACCTATTCCATCAACAACCTTAATCCCAAATCCAAAAACAAAATCAAGGTTAAATCACTAATCTATCCTCTAAATCAACCAAAACGAGGTTATTAAAACCCGATAAAACTCAAGACGTTACAATAAACACGTATAAAATGATAGAGTAAGATGGGGGGAAAAAAAACTTTGATCACAAAATGCTGATTTCATTCCATGAGTAAGGGTGATGAGCATCTCTGAAACCCTAATCAAATGGCGAATGGACGCTCCACCCACAGGCCATGGGAATGAGAAGAAAAAGAAGAGAATATATGTTTATAAGTTAAGAGCTTGTTTGGTTTCCTTTTTTGAAAATAATTTTTTGTTTTTAAAAATAGAAAAACAAAAAAAAACTTGTTTGGCAATTTGTTTTAGTTGATTGTTTTAAAAAACAAAAAACAATAATATGTTTTTAAAAACTGAAAAACCCAAACAACTTTTACATGTTTTCTTGTTTTTGTTTTTGTGTTTTTTTTTTGGTTTTAAAAAATGAGAGAAATCTTCTTCTCTTCTTTTCTACCACCTACTACTTATCACTACTAGTGATAACTACCACTTGTCAAAGTGCAATTTTTTATATTTTTTTTTCAAATGTGATTTTTTAAAAATTATTTTCCAAACAAATATTTTGCTTTTTGTTTCCAAAACTTGTTCTTAAAAACAATTTTATAAAATTGTTTTGAGAATAAGAAAACAAAGAACAAAAACAAACAGGTCCTAAATATTTGAGCCTCCATTCCAGTTGGAGATGTTCATGGGCATAGAAAATAATCTCCCTTGCTTCTTCCTTTCTCACAAATAGAAAATAATCTCTCTTTCTTTTTTCACAACTTACCACCCTTTCTCTCTAGAAATTTTATCCATCCACTTTCAACCCTTACTCTCCTATTTATAAGCTTCAAATAGGGTTTTTTATTTTTCTTTTAATTTTTCTTTTTTCATTTTTCCCTAATAATGACTCATAACTCCATTTCTTATTTAAGCACAAATCATCATCAATTTGTGATTTTTTTTTTTCCACAATAATGACTCTAAAAACTATTTCCAATAGAGAGCCAATCATCTTTGGATGAGAGATTTTTATTTTATTTTTTGATTTTTTCTTTTTTTTTTCCTTTAACGAGTCTACCCTTCTTTTTCTAATTTGGAGATTAATAAACATTTAATCTCACCATTTATTGTGATGAGGAGACTTTTATTTGATTTTTTTTATTTACTACAAGGTATTCTTTTTAAACTTGGCATCTAAGAACGAGTCAATGGGAATTTTCTTTTATGATTTCTTCATTTTTTTTTATCTATCATTTATTAATGGGTTTGGACAAAATAGGATGTTTATAGATGGTCAACAGGAATTGTCTTTTCGGCTTTTGTAATAAACCTCTCTCTCGGTAAGGTTGTGTGGTTATAGCCCTAGTAAAGTCCATATTAAGCTGAAGGCTTACAATAACTTTTAGTGTTCTTTCTCCCTTGATATGAGAGGGGCTATTAAAGCTGTTATTAGATATGTAGTATTGGTACATAAGAGAGTTTGGCTCAACCTTTAAGCAAGTCATAGGTCAACCACCCCTTTCCACCATTATCATGGACTACAGGGGAAGAACTGCACGGTCTTATTCTTAAAGTGATGTGTCATGTGTGGATTTGTTTTACTCTCATGTCTTTGGTGTTTTGGTGAATTTGCTTGTACTTTTAGGATTGGGTTCGATGTCCTTTGTTGGCTAGCCTTTTCAATTAGATTGGTGATTGTAATGGTGTTATACTATGAATGAATGAATTAATCTTCTTTTGCCGAAAAAAAGATGCTGATTATTCAAGGAAAAAAAAAGTACAACTGCATGTGCATGTTCAGCATGCTACAATATTAAAATCATTGATATTAACGTTATTATTAGGGAGAATCTCATTTAAATCCAACTGAAATACTAAAATCCAAAATTAGGCCTATGTTTTGAACAAATCCATAATTAGGTCTAATTAGGGATTTATAAATGTTGTTAAAAATCTGTAATACCTTTTTATAATTATAATATGGGTTGTTACCTTTATATTTTTCTTCCTCACAAATTCTTTTCCTGAAATTTTTTGCCAGATTTTTCAAAATTTGAAAATAGTAAATCTTTAGTAGATAATAGTGACACAGTCCTTGATTCACATTAATAAAATCTAGCACCATTATCGATATAACAGCGTAGGTACTAATAGATTTTAATTTTGGATGAATTTAATTTCTACTTAATTTTCATATTGATCCATCCTCCGCATACTTTATATTTAATTAAACTGACACATTTTTTTAATAGAACACACATATTTTAAGAGTGGAAAACTTATTCAGACAACAAATTTTTTTACAAATTTTGGAATGAGGACAATATTATTTTCATATTTTAGGAAAAATTTTTGCAACGGAGAAAAATATATAAGTATCAACTCATATTTTAATTATAAAGGGATATTTTGGTCTTTTAACAATATTCATAAATCTCTATTAGGCCTTTTAGCCTAATTAGAAATTTATTCAAAGTGGAGACCTAATTTTAAATTTCAATATTTCAAGTGGATTTAAACATGATTCTCCCTTATCAAATATTAAATATTGTATTTCGGGCGAAAAATATTAATATTGTATATTTCATTTATTTTGAACTTTGTAATTAGATCAATATCTTACATATGCAACTCCAATGATAGACGATACAAATTTTAAATTATCATCACATGACTTCATATTTTGATGTTATCTTATCTGTTCTTTCCAAGCTTAATTCCATCTGTATTATTGTAGATTAAAAAAGCCTCAAGTTTTCATTGATTCTCCATTATTTTACCGTGAATTAATACATTTGTGAAACTAACACAAAATCAAGTAACATTAAATTTATAACCGATTCACTCTTGCTTATATACTTTCATTTTGTATGTCGATTATATTCAAAGAACTTTCTTGTTTGTTTAATGACTCGACCCTTGAACTCTGACGTGACTAAAATAGACGGAGTTTGGACACATCACCTTCACACAACGATAATCACGACTTATTTTCCAATTATTTTATGGAGTCTTCAATTACTGAAAGTTATGCAGCATTGATAATTTTCCACCCAAAAAAAAAGAGTGGTACTCGGAGTGGAAGAGAAGTAAAATGGCAAAGAACTATAGAAAGCCCTCATATCAAAGAACTGTAGAAAGCTGCAATCTTACACAACTTCAAGTTCATATTTCCTTTAGTCCAAGGCTTTAGAATAACAAGTGTTTTTAATCAGAGTAACAAAACATGGCCACAGTCCACTCATGATCAAACAAGAAGCTAGAAACTGTAGTGACTTGATTAAAGCAGTTCAGGATAATTCTTGAGACTTCCTCACACATCGACTTACTCTCTTTCTGAACTCATCCCTTTTGTCTCTCCACATTACCTGCAGCAAGGGAGTAAACGAGATAAAGATGTCATCCAAGAATTTTGTCAAAATGGTGCCTGAAGAATGCTGATATTATGCAAATAAAACTCAAGCTCAACCAATCAATAATGCAAATTTGAAGAATTATCATCTATACAAAATCAAATATGGCTCAATGTGGGCTTAACTTTTGGTTGTTTTCCACAAAATATAAGCGTTAACATTAAAAGCAGGGAAAAGGGATTATGGTTAGTGGGTAGTTATCTGAAACTTCGAAACTTCTCTTCTTTCATAGTAATGATGCTGAAAACCTTATAGGTACAAGAACGATATGGCTAAAAAGAAAATTGAACAAGACTTTAAGCCAACAATATGCAGAAACAACCTAAAGTTCCTACATATAGCAAAGATGTTTAATAGAAGATAAGAACATCATATATAGGTTCATCTCATCCTATTCCCACTCAACTATACTTTACAAGATTCCCAAGTTTGTAATCTCCCATTTCCAGGTTTGAAACGCAATAATATTGGGCATGGGTAAGAAAGAAAATTATTGTGCAATTAAAGGTTACTTCACATATTTCGCAAAAGCATTACCGCAGCTTCTACATTTGCAGGAGACTCATCATTAGGGCTTGAAAGCATTGATATAATACTTAATACTATGCTCTCAACCTGCATACCAGATCAGGTTATTATTAGCATTGTTCATCAAGAATACCATAATATAAAAAAATATGATATAAATCTGCAGATGAAATCAGATTATTGCTAGCATAGTTTTTATTTTTTGAGTGAAGGCTAGCATTGTTTTATTAACAAGAAAACAGGACTTAATTCAATTACAATTTCTTATATCTTGCTATTGGGTCATTAAAACTGACAAATAGAAAAATTCATTAGGAGATCATGAGTTGTAAAATCAAAAAATTTGTCATGCCGTTCATCAAAAACTTTATAGCAAATAGCTAACCAATTTGTTTACGCTTTTTCCTACAGCTGAACAAAGGAAAATCCACCGCACACAGAGAGATAGAAAAGATGCAAAATGACAGAAATGGCATCCAATAGATAATTTTCACTTCACCAAAAAAAACAGAGAGAATCATTCTATACGGGTCAATTCTACACTGAAACATGCAAAAGGCCAAACATACGAAAGGCCAAAAATCTATCATGGTATTCTTTCTATCATACACTTTCATCCAAAAGAAATTTGGTTTAGAACCTATAATACCCACAGTATAGGAGCAAGGGGCAAGCAACTACTTAGTCCGAAAAAACCACCCGACCCTGACTATGTGAAGGTCTGGATTGGGCTGGGTTGAAACTTAAACGAACAACCCAACTCAGAAATGATGAGGCCAAAATAATTGAACTGGTCCATATTGCAGGCTGGCTTAACAGGTCCAATCAATCCAGGCTGGTCCAATAATCAAGCTTACACACACAGACAGAAACCAATGCAGCCCCCTCCCAATCATAAATCCCCTTCCATCATGCATGTAAAGTCCCTTCTATGCTTTCTCTCTCACACCACATGTTCAGAAATGCTTTGATTCAACCCTCACATCGCATGCCTTCCCTCCATGACAATCAGATTGTAGATCCACCACAAAAGCAGGGAAGTCAGAGGCTGTCAGATTTCAGAACCATGGCTATGACGGATACTTCTCCTCCTCCTCTTTGCTTCCCATTGCCTCTCTCCCTCAGATTTAGTTCCTTGGTGATGATGAGAACTTCCATTTAGGTGTGGAGCCTAGGATCTGTAGCAATTTTGTGAATTGCCTTTATGGATTTGATTTTTCTATTTTAAGCTTCTTTATTTTTTCTTTGCTGAATTTGGTTGATTTGTTTTTGTTTCTTTGTTGGATCTGTTTTCTCATCCTCCTCCTCCTCCATCCTATCTTCTAGTCTCTCTCTTTCATCTTCTTCTTTGATTGCCTTTCAAACTTTAGAAAACCAGACTGACCTGAGGCAAACCTTTAAGGACCATAACAAACACAGGCTATCCAGACTTGGACAATAAATTGTGCCAAGACTCAAGAGTGCTGCAGACCCACACTCAACTATGACTTGAGAACTTCAGTGATCGTTATATAAATTCATTATTTACTATAATTACTTGTGTTATTGTTCTTAACACAATTGTTAGAAATTATTATGAAAGCAGTGTACTAACCAAGCACATGGGAATTCCAAACTAAATGCATGTTTTAACAGAATCATATGGCAATTACATACTGCATATTGCATATATGCACACCCACACTCACAAAGGTAGCATAAACAAATGAGCCATGAGCAAATAAGCCGAAAACATATGGCTTACATTGAAATCTAGGTGGTTCAATTATATTTGACAATATTTCAGAACACAAGCCATGTTATTAAAGTAACTCGTGTCATCTGTAATTATTCAAGTAAATGAAAGAGCAAGAAAAATCCAAGCCTCACATCATGATGAACAAATGCATCTTTGATCATATAAACCATACCGTATGGACCGGACTCCAGCGCTCACTTGCGAGTTCATAGCCATTTGGATCATCACCAGGGGGATGAAGAATTGAAATACAGACTCTTCCATCTGGGTAAACTATAGTCCATATTTCAAAAAAAAAAAAAAAAGAAATTAGGCAAAAGATTATGAAAGCCACAGGATTTTGATAGTTGTGGGAGCATCACCATTAGGATGCCACATCTCAGAGATAAACCTCACTGTTGGCGGACTAAGTGGATAATTGGGAGGAAAAAGCATGATGGCATTGAAGAAACCTCCATCACTGCAAACAATGGCCATGTAAAAAAGGCAGAAAGGTATATAATAAGCCCCATGATTCAAAACTTCAAATGACAAGTTTACCTAGATATTTTCCCAAAAAAAGATCTAGAAGGAGTTAATCCAAAAGGGAGTTGACAACAGAAGCCTTGCATGCAGTTAAATACTTATATGCATAGAAATGTCCACACTGTTCAGTAGCGTACCATGGTAAATTACAAAGGCAAAATATTTTAATTTTCTTTTAAAATACTAATGAGCAATAATCACCTAGACAACTCCACTTCCCCCATGCACAGCTTTCTCTTTGCGACCCAATTGTTGATAATATACATACTTAAAATGTTGGGAACAAAGTCAAGAACCAAAGCGTTATCCATGAAATTTCATTTATGCAGCTATACAACAAAAGGGCTCCGGCACTTCCAAATCACACACAACAGAAAATAAATAGACGCTTAATTTCACTACTAATCTCTATAGTTTTTACTATGTAAATTTATATGGTTTCAGTTGGATGGTCCCTCGATTTATTTGAAGAAGAGTAGTCGACGAAAATTTTGAATTATGTGACCTGAACGAAATTCAAATGCTGCCACGTCTGACTATTATTATAACTTTAAACCGTATTTAATAGCAAAGTAATCAGAATTATTTCTGGGGAAAAAACGTAATCAGAATTACAAGAAAGTAAAGCAAGACATCAAGCTTTTGTCTGGTAGAATAAAAAGAAGGAAAGACGATAACAAGGTATAATTACATTAATTCATTTAAATTCTTTGTAACCTCTCCATTTCCTTTCAATCACTTCTACTTCTCAAACAAACCGTGAAGAAAACTCACGATTGGCCCTAAAAGAAAAGGAAGGAAAGAATCATATAACTCACTAAAGAGTATCCGGTGGCCCAATGATGGTCACTCGCCATTCGAATACGTTATTATCGTTAACCAAACCGGCCGAAAATCCATCGACTGGATTTTTATAAAGCTCTGCCAATTACAATAATGATCATCAGTTGATCAATACAAAAAATCAAGCATGAATCAAAACCCTAAAAGGGTTTTGAAAAGCCAAAGAAGAGGAGAAGAAAGAAAGCCGAGATTTGGGTTTCAGTAATACTAATAAGTGATAACCTGTCAGTTGTTTCTGAAGTAGAAGGCTGGCCTGAGACGCAGCCATTTGCTGGAGGGGAGAGAGGGAGGGAGGGAGGGAGGAAGCAAGGGATCACCGAAAGAAGAGGGAGGAAAGAAAAGCAGGGGTTGGGGGGAAGAAAAAAGGCAAAGAAAACCGACTGCAGGATTTCATTCCAAATTACGTATTCATTCATGGTTCTCCATGTAAGCATATCCATAATTTGTTGTCTTAAATATAAAAAGATAAAGAAAATTAGGAGAAATTGTGGATTTGATTAAAAAACATGACCAAAAAAAAAAAACTGGTATGTAGAGCAGAAAGTTTTATGAGGGGAATTAACCTTGTGGTGCAAAGGGGAGGTCAATTTAGAAATTGGGAGAATTTCAATTAACGACTATTGTAGCCAATTTATTTCAAAATATCCTCATAAAAATCTGAAACTTCACTACAGTTTCATCAGTGTAAAATGAAATTAATTTTTAGACCAAGAAGACATTGTTGCCCCTAAAGTTTATTGCATTTGAAACTTAGAAAAAATAATATGATGAATTGCTCTTTTCTGAAAACATCACTCCATCCTCCAGCCTTTGGGTGTGTTCCATCGACGTCGTTGCTATCATTCCGTTAAGTCCATTGTCGTCGTCGTCACATCCACGCTGTCACATCCAAAAAATTTTCACCTGGCTATAAAGGGTTAAAAATTAGAATGAGGGTCAATATAGGAATTAGATGGCGAGATGAAACAACTTTTGATGTGAAACCCCGATAAGGTCCGGGCTGGCATTTCTGTAATTTTTGGTCTAGGAAGGGCAAAACGGAAAATTTTGAGAAAAATTCTAGAAAATTCCTAAAAAATGGAAAAAGTGTAGATTAGAGATTTTGGAAACTCGGTTGAGGCCTGAAAGGTAGAATTATGGCAAAAATAAATTATTCCAGAATTTCCCGTAAGCGAAGGTTTTTCAGGAAATTATTGGAAAATTGAAGAAAAATAATTATTTTATTTAGTTAGAGGCCTCAATAAATTTGGAAGGATGATGGATAAATCATCTAAATATTTATTTGAAATTATAAAATTGGTTCTAGACCTTGAAAGCTCAGGAATTAATTTTAGAGAATTTATTTTTCTTCAGATTTACCGATTAAGGCATAATCGGAGAAAATTCAAAATAAATACCTAGAGGTGGCAAAAAATTCTGAAAATTTTCAGATCATATTCTCATATTAAAAGGTGAATTATCATGGAGAGAAATGAATTTTTGGAGGTCTAAAAAAATTATGGAATGTCACTAGTGAATAGTAATGATAAAGTTTCAAATTAATCTGAATAGTAATTTGGTTTGTGGGCCATCTTTTTAGAGCAGCCCAAAACTTTTGTGGGGCCCACATTGAGCCTAATAAGGGCCCAATTTTGTGCAGTTTTCAGGTCCCTCTATTTTTAATTAAATAAATGCAATATTAAAGGATATTTGTGTGGAAAAATCTAGAGAAAAGTCACTTGTTCAAATCTGAAGTTAAGTGACACTTGATGGCTGCCAACACACCCTCTTATCTGTCATTTTGGGCATGCTAATTAGGGGAAAAATGGCAGATTATTTGGTCTATAAATACCCCTTAGAAATTACAAAAAAAATATTGGAAATTGGAAAAAAAAATAAGGGGAGACTCTGTCACTATAGCTCCAGCCTTGTTCCTTCAAATTTCTTGAGTGTTTTGGGCAAGGAATCACTCAGTTTTTATTAAGGGAACATCATGGTATGTATGAGCCTCCTTATCCCTAAGTTCTACACTATTTTGGTTGAGATTTTTAGCTTGAAAAATTAAGGAAAATGATGTCCAATTTCGTTGGATCATGTGGCACTCAGGGAAGGATAGAAACTTTAATAATCAAGTGGAATAAGAAAGATTAAGTGGTGTGTGGATTGATTTTTAGAAGAAAATCAAAGTTAGGGTTTAAGGGTTCTTATTCGGCCAGCACTGTTCATGCAAAAGGAAATTGTTTTGGCCTGATTTGATGATTCCAATGGCTTTAAAATATGTTTTTGTGTAGGGATATGATGTTGGAAAGTGTTTAAAATCATTGGAATCAAAAATAGAATTTGTGGAAATAAATACCCCCTATTCAGCCAGTTACTGTTCATGGGGAAGGAGTTTGAATTTCAAAAATCTGATTGCACCATTGGATTTCTCATGAAAAATGGCGTAGGATTGAGTCATGAGATGATTGATTTTAAATAAGGAATCATTTTGTTAAAAATCAAGGAAAAAGGAGGGAATTGTTAAGTTGAAGTTAAAGTGTTGTAATTAAGTTTTTTAATAGTTAATGTGCCTATGTTTATGCTTGGTTTAATAGGCATTGTGAGGAAGAACCAAAAGGAAGCTTTGTTTTTGAAGTAACCAATTGGACAAGCGTAAAAGAGGTAACTTTGAATTATAGTTTGATTGTTTATCTTGCTTGTTTAACGTTATTATGTTGTTTGTTTGGATTGAGGAACTTGTGTTGTGTTTATGGTTGGTTAAATAACCTTGGTTTATGTTTTGGTCAAATGCATTGGATTGTGTTAATATGGAAGTGTTGATGTTCCTCTCCTAGCATGGTATTAAGCATGATTTTATGTGGTTTGATTATGCCTTCAGGTTTGATAACATGTCACATGTGAACTTACTTGATTTACATGACAATTATAATTCATATGCTACTGAGATTTCTTTGAAATCTCATTCCCCTATGTTAAATTATGTCTCAAATAGGGAATGGTTCATCCGATGGTAAGGGCAAGGAAATGATTTTGGGATAGAGGAACATTATGGAATTGATGCAATTATGTTATGTTGTGTAATGTACTAATGAACTTTATGTTGAGAATGTAATGGATTATAAATAATATGTGATGTAAATTATGTTTGTATGACATGTCTAAATGTTGGGATATTGAATGGTATAATGTTAAAAGAGTGTAGGAAAAAGAAAAATGGAAGATAAATTAAAGAAAGTAGTATTATGGGATAAAAGCTCCCTAAATAGTGCTAATTTTGTGGCACATGAAATAATAAGCCACTAATTGGAATTTAGGCATGAAATTTTACAAGCAAATAGATATCATTTTTAGCTTTAAATCAAGAGATAAACCATCAAATTTGGAGTTTTGTGCTAAGAGTTATGTCCTTCCAAAGTTAGGCAAAAATACTGGAAATTAGAAAATTGACCATATAAACAGTACATCTCATCAATTTTTTTGGTATTGTTCTGGATGGAATTGAGTTCAATGAATATTTTTTCTCTATAGAAATCTTGGCAAGCTTCGTGTGAAAATTGGAACCACTTTATTTTGATTTTTCTAGAATTAGTTATGAATTTTCAAAGTTGGCACATTTTCGGATGAATAGTGTACGGACAGAATTAAGAGTAAAATTTTGAAGTTGAAATTTTCATCCAGAAACACTATGAAACACGTTATAATGGTTTTAATTAACGTATAATGGGTTATAAAGAGAGGTGTGACACATGCATTCAGTCACCATAGTTGTCAACCTCACATTTCATTGCCGTCACTATGGTTTGTTGCTCATTATAGGGCTTCGACAAGTTTGTTCCAATGAGTTCTCATTCCCACCATTCTCCATTCTAGTTCAGCTGGCATCGCCCTATCTATTTACAATATAGTATGGGTTCTTATGCAATTAAACAGACTATGTTAGAATTTTCCCCTCTTTTTTGAATTGTGCAAAGGAAGTTCTATATGATTTTTATTCTAGACAATCATTGCATTGCTGTTGTATTTATAGGTGAGGTTTTATACAATTTGACCATTAGTACTTTATAATATAGGACAAGAAAGAAACTAAATAAATAGCTTATTAGAACTTAAGATGAGTTGCATTATCATTCTTTTTCAGATTTGCAAACATGTCAACTTTTGCTTTCAAAGGCGTGTTAAATCTTATAGGGCCTCTTTCTTCCAATATCCTCTACTTGATTCTACCCAATATTCTTCTATAAACGAATTGCTGATAGTGAATGAATTGGTGATATTAAAACTAAATTGTCCAGAAAATTTGTTATTTTGTGTTGTGAAAATGCATATTTGTGTTGTAAATTTACAAATTTCAGTTGTAAATTTATATTATGTTTAAGTTTTGATAACTAATTGAAATTAATATATTGATGATGTGCAGTAAGGGATAAGATATGGCTAGTAGTCCTAAAAAGTGATTATTTTACATCTTCTATGTGAGAGGAAACTATGTGAAGACCTTATAGGAGAAAATGACATATGGGGGATTATAGGTTGAACATTGATAACAAAACGGCTACTTGTTCAATATTCACAAGTCTGGAAGGAACAATTCACAATTAGAATTAGAAAATTTGCAACAAGGTTGCGTGAATTAACAACAGAAATATATCCATTTGCAAGTGAACTAATATAACTAAGAAGTTGAACGTGGTAATGTACAATTCTAAAGAGACAATTCACAACTGAGATTAGAAAATTTGCACTAGGGATACATGAACTAACAAGAAAAATATATCCATTTGCAAATGGACTAATATAACTAAAAAAGTTGAAAATGATAATGTACAAGTCTGGAGAGACAATTCGCAATTGGAATTAGAAAATTTGTAATAGGGATGCATGAATTAACAACAGAAATATGTCCATTTGCAAATAGACTAATATAACTAAAAAGTTGAACATAATAATGTCCAATTCTGGAGAGACAATCCATAACTGAAATTAGAAAATTTGCAATAGCGATATATGAACTAACAAGAAAAGTATATCCATTTACAAGTAGACTAATAAAACAAAAAAATTTGAACATAATAAGGTACAAGCCTGGAGAGACAATTCACAACTAGAATTAGGAAATTTACAATAGAAATACATGAATTAACAACAGAAATACATTTATTTGTAACTAGACTAATGTAACTTAAAAAGAACATGATAATGTACAAGTCTGGAAAGACAATTTACAACTGAAATTAGGAAATTTATAATAAGGATACATGAATTAATAAAAAAAATACGTATATTTGTAAATGTACCAATATAACTCAAAACTTGAACATGATAATGTATAATTCTGGAGAGACAATATTGATA